CTTCCATTCCGTCTCAGATTTTCTAGGTGGCAACTATTCAGACATTGTTCAAACCAGTTTGTGCTCAGTTAGAACAATTAACCAGGGAGGGACAGGGAGAACAATTGACCAGTGGAACAACCTGCCTCCAGAAGTTGTGGGTGCTCCAGTACTGGAAGTTTTTAAGAGGAGACTGGACAGCCACTTGTCTGAAATTGTATGGGGTTTCTTGCCTGAGCGGGGGGTTGGACTAGATGACCTCCAAGGTCCCTTCCAACTCTGTTATTCTATATTCCCCTTTACTGAGGAATTTGTGGCTAAGCTTCAAACATCCAGAAGGGAAACCACAGTGGACAGCAAATCATAGGGCATCCACCTGAGATGAAGCAAGAAGCTCTACATGGGGCTACTCTTGAATAGAATAGAACTGGAAGGGACCTTGGAGGTCTTCTAGTCCAGCCCCCCGCTCAAGCGGAAGGAGAACCTACACCATCTCAGACAAATGATTGTCTAGCCTCTTCTTAAAAACCTCCAGTGATGGAGTACCCGTGATTTCTGAAGGCAAGCTGTTCCACTGGTTGATTGTCCTCACTGTTAGGAAGCTTCTCCTTAATTCCAGGTTGCTTCTCTCCTTGATTAGTTCAATCAATCAATCAGAATAGAGCTGGAATGGACCTTGGAGGTCTTCTAGTCCAGTCCCTTGCTCAAGCAGGAGAACCTATACCATCTCAGACAAGTGACTGTCTAGCCTCTTTTTAAAAATCTCCAGTGATGGACCGCCCACGATTTCTGGGGGCAAGCTGTTCCACTGGTTGATTGTCCTCACTGTCAGGTAGTTTCTCCTTAATTCCAGGTTGCTTCTCTCTTTGATCAGTTTCCATCCATTGTTTCTTGTCCTGCTTTCTGGTCCTTGAAGTTGATTCAGAAGTTACAACTGGGTGTAGTTGGGTGTGGTGGCACGGCAGTTCTCAGGACCCTTAAAGTGATCCATGTTCCACGACTGGCCCGGCTACCGTTGCTACCAGGCACAGTTCAAGGTGTTGGTTATCACCTTTAAAGCCCTTCATGGCTTGGGTCCAGGCTATAGGAGAAGGAACCATCTCACCACACTGGGATTGGTCCTCCCCAACCAGCCTGCAGAAGGGGCCTGCTGTGGACCCCACCAGTCAAGAAATTCCAGCTGGTGGGATCCAGAAGAGCTTTCCCTGCCGTTGCTCTGGCCCTTTGGAACATTGCGCCCCCGAGTAATTGGAAACCACTACTATTACTCCTGCGAGTCCCCTGGATTACAAGGCGATCAAACCGGTCAGTCCTGGAGGAGATCAACTCTGACTGCTCTTTAGAAGGCCAGATCCTGAAGTTGAAACTCAAGTCCTTTGGCCACCTAATGAGAAGGAAGGACTCCCTGGAGAAGAGCCTGATGCTGGGAAAGATGGAGGGCAAGAGAAGAAGGGGTCGACAGAGAAGGAGGTGGCTGGATGGAGTCCCTGAAGCAGTAGGTGTGAGCTTCAATGGACTCCAGAAGATGGTAGAGGACAAGAAGGCCTGGAGGAACGTCATCCATGGGGTCGCGATGGGTCAGACACGACTTCGCAACTAACAACAACTAAACTACAGGTGGTCCTCGACTTAATGACTGCAATTCAGCCCAAAATTTCCGTCATCAAATGAGACCTTGGTGAAGTGAATCCTGCCCCGTTTTACGACCTTTCTTGCCACAGGGGTGAAGTTGTGCGGTAGTTGTGAAGTTAATGTCACGGCTTTCCCCCCCCGACTCTGCTCGTCAGAAAGTCGCAAAAAGGGGATCGCAGCAACCCCAGGACCGTTCTAAAAGTGAGTCAGTTGCTAAGAGTTTGAATTATGATCCCGTGGCCATGGGGATGTCGCGGCAGTTGCAAGTGGTTAAAAACGGTCGTTAAGTCACTCTTTTCAGTGGCGTAGTAACTTTGAAGGGTCACAAAATGAACTGTTGTAAGTTGAGGACTTTTTTTAATCAAGTTGGAAGGGACCTTGGAGGTCCTCTAGTCCAACCCCCTGCTCAGGCAGGAAACCCTATCCCATTTCTGACAAATGGTTGTCCAGTCTCTTCTTAAAAACTTCCAGTGTTGGAGCATTCACTGCTTCTGGAGGCAGGTGGTTCCACTGGTTAATTGTTCTAACTGTCAGGAAGTTTCTCCTTAGTTCTAGGTTGCTTCTCTCCTTGGTTAGTTTCCATCCGTTGCTTCTTGTCCTGCCTTCGGGCGCTTTGGAGAATAGCTTGACTCCCTCTTCTTTGGGGCAGCCCCTGAGATATTGGAACACTGCTATCATGTCCTGTAGTTCATGAAAACAACATGGAGGTATTCTCCGGAGTCCAGCTTGAGTTGAGCCAGTCTGTTTTAAGAGGCTATTTGCAGCTGCCAATCTGGGCTTTTAATTGGCAGGGTACTATCTTTGTTCTTTCATGGATGCTTTCACCATATTTTTAATTAATTTGGTTCTTTACGGTGTTAATTGTTAGCTTCTTTGAGCATCCTTCTTTGATGGAAAGGTTGGGTATATAAACCCAGTGAAGTCACTAAAATGTTCAGATACGTCATCAAAGCACGGATTGAGAAGCAGGATCACGTTAATCTAATATTAAACCGGGAAGAAACTTCTGCAGAAATCCATGTGAATCTTTGCTTTCCGGCTTGCAAACCTCCAATAAAAACTTTCAAAGAGGATTTTTTTTCCCCCCCGTAACGGAGAGGGAAGTTTCATTTTGTAAGTACATTTGGAAAAAACAAAGACACCAACCAGCTTAGTATACATATTTAGTTAATCCTTGCTTGAAAAATGACACAGTAATGCTTTTAAGAAGCAGTGCGGGTCTATATTGATTTTCACTGTTTCCCAAACAGAAATTAAGTCTTTTAATTCCTGCAGGAGCTCAGCAAAGTCTCTGACTGGAAGACTCCAGCTGTGAATGCCAACAGGAAATTATTTCTATAGCTTAAGCACTGGAAGAGAAATAAAAGGATTTTTTTTTAAACTGCTTGTCAAAGGATTAAATTTCCTCCAACGAGAAAATGAGTTATTAAACTAATTTTATATTAGTTTTTAAACAAGCATAACTCCTTCTTTCAGGCGCCTAGTTCTTCGACACAGCGCTCAGTGCCACTTAATTTACTTCTAAACGAAAATAAACTTGGAAGAGGACAAAAAGTGGTTTTAATGGGGTACGGGGATAATTAAATGTTTGGAATGAGAGAAAAATGGTCCTATATATTTGTTGTATTTGCTAAATGGGTATTCGCCATTATTTCTAACATTTGCAAACCCTGAAATCACAAAAGGCCCCTCCATATTCAGCGATAAATAAGGTTCATTATGGGATGTAGATGCTCCATCACTGGAGGTTTTCAAGAAGAGACTGGACAGCCATTTGTCCGTGATTTTATAGGGCAGGGGTAGGCAACCTTGGCTCTTTTATGACTCGTGGACTTCAACTCCCAGAATTCCCGAGCCAGCCATGCTGAGGGGAAAGGGAGAGGTTTCCAAGCTGAGCCATGCTGGCTCAGGAATTCTGGGAGTTGAAGTCCACGAGTCATAAAAGAGCCAAGGTTGCCTACCCCTGGTATAGGGTCTCCTGCTTGAGCAAGGGGTTGGACTGGGAGACCTCCAAGGTCCCATCCAGCCCTATTAGTCTATGTTCTGTGTTCTGTGAATAAATGTATCAGCAAAAATTGACACTTTTGAACACTGGCGTTGGAAAGGACTCTTCAGGATACCATGGACAGCCAACAATAAAACAAATGGATCATCCAATAACTCAACCCAGAGATTTCATGAGACACACACATGATGAGGCTCCAATGATCATATCTTCGTGGCATGAAAATGAGACCCGACTCCCTTAAGAAGTGGAAAGAGAGAGAAGGAGAGAACAACCAGCCACAAGGTGGATGGACTCAATTACATCCATGATGAATGGATGAGTTGGAAGAGCCAAAGGTCCACGATGGGCACAGATCCGCTTGGAGAAAGTCAACTTGGGTGGTTGTTAAGAATCAACATCAGCTTCATGGCACCCCATAATCCGCCCCGTCCCACTTAGCCTGTCCAAGCAAAATTTCCCTGTATATGGGTAGTCCTCAACTTACAACCACAATTGACCAGAATTTTGCTGTCATTAAGTGAAGAGCATCTTTGATGACCTTTATGTTGTGGTCACTAAGTGACTCAAACAGCTGCTTTATGATTTATCTTGATTGCTTATTTAGTATCCTATGACTCTCATTAAGTGTTATATCTTATGATTTATAATGAATGTATTTTTATGATGATGATGATGATTTATCGCTTGTTGCATGTATGTACACTGAGCACTTATGCACCAGAGACAAATTCCTTGTGTCAATAAAGAATCCTCTTCTCTCCTCTCCTCTCTTCTATCCTCTCCTCTCCTCTCCCCTCCTCTCCTATATTCTCTCCTCTCCTCTCTCCTCTCCTCTATTCTATCCTATCCTCTCCTCTATTCTATCCTCTCCTCTCCCCTCTCCTGTATTCTCTCCTCTCCCCTCTCCTGTATTCTCTCCTCCCCTCTCCTGTATTCTCTCCTCTCCTCTCTTCTATCCTTTCCTCTCCTCTTTCTATCCTCTCCTCCTCTCCCCTCTCCTGTATTCTCTCCTCTCCTCTCCTCTCAATTCTATCCTCTCCTCTCCCCTCTCCTCTCCTGTATTCTCTCCTCTCCTCTCTCCTCTCCTCTATTCTATCCTTTCCTCTCTCCTATCCTCTCTTCTCCTCTCATCCTCTCCCCTCCCCTCCTGTATTCTATCCTCTCCTCTCCTGTATTCTATCCTCTTCTCTCTTCTCTCTTCTATCCTCTCCTCTCCCCTCCCCTCTCCTCTCCTGTATTCTATTCTCTCCTCTCCTCTCCTCTCCTCTATCCTATCCTCTATCCTATCCTATCGCCAATCCAGCTTCCCCCACTGGCTCTGCTTGTTGGAAGCCAACGAAAGAGGGAGATTCTGTTCATACGAACGGAGAACCCCACTCACCGTCCATGGTTTGACCTTCTCTTTTCAACATCTGGACAGCACCCACGTATTTCTTTAGCTGGACTTTGAGCACCTCATTCTCCCTGCACGTACAAAAACAGGAAGACTGTTAAGGCAGCCGAGGTCTTCCCCATTGGGTTTTCTTTAATAAGTTGCCAATGCAGAGATCTACTCAATGCCAACGGATTTTTTTTCAACCACTTTGCAACTGCCTGTCTGGCAAAGGAATACGCATTACATAACAATGAAATTTTAATGAAGCTCCTGAAGGCATTTTAAGCAGCCGAGATTGTTCTGATTTCCTAGGAGTGGAGAGGCAGAAAACAGCACTGGGAGTTGGTGAGAGAGCAACTGGGCTAAGCTACTCAGTCGAGGCCAAGAATCAAAGCACTTGGCTTATTTTTTATAATTATTTTTTTTTATAATTTAATTTGTATCCCGCCCTTCTCCTCACCGGACTCAGGGCGGCTAACAGCCTTATAAAACAACATTACAATAAATATCCATATTAAAACCAAATTAAAAGAAAATATTCGTAAAGGCCAATCGTTAAAATTACCCTTAAAATACCCTTAAAAACCCCACTAAAATTCCCTAGGCCAAACCCGCTTGTTGAAAAAGCCATGTCTTTAGGGCGCGGCGGAAGGAGGGGAGATCCGGGATCACCCGGATCTCTGGGGGTAGTTCGTTCCAGAGGGTGGGGGCTCCCACCGAGAAGGCCCTCCCCCTGGGGGTCGCCAGCCGGCACTGTCTGGCTGACGGCACC